GGCTGCGCGGGGCAGCGGGGCGCTTCCCCGGGGGCTCCCCCGCGCCCGCCCGGCGGCCGAGCGGGCGGAGCGGCGCTGCCTTCTCCCCGTCCTGCTGGGTAGCGCCTGGGGAGCGAGCATCACCTCAGCCGCCGCAGCGGAGGGCAGCAGCAGAGCTGTGCAACATGTATCGTACGGTATTATGTGGACGCTGTTACTTTTTGGGGGGTCGTATTTCACTGCCCGCCCTTTCTCCCTCTGCCCTTTTGGATTTTCCAGACCTACGTTCCTGGTGGCAGTTCCCTGGAACATCAGGCCTGGAGCAAACGTGACGGTTGGGGTGGCTCTGCTGCCGGACAGCCCAGCGCAGGTCATCGTAAGGGGAGAGGTGATCAGAGATAACGAGACCATCTTGAGCAGGGAAATGGTCTTTGAGAAAGGTAAGAGAGTGGACTTGGCCTGGAAGGATGTAGATTTGCCTTCTCCCGCAAATATTTTGTTAATCCCAAAATATCACAGCTTCTAAACAGCACTAAAACAGGAACTTTATTTTACCAAGTAGGGGTCACTTATGGGAAAATAATCTTGTACTCTGCTGGCTCTGTGTGCAGGTGGGCGACTGAGCTGGATAGCGAGTGGTTGCATGGGTGGGCTAACTCATTGTAAACTCTGAAAATAATCCGATCGTAGCGAAGTGCGATGGATGTGGGGTTTCTGAGGTGCCAGGAAGTACTCTGGTCAGTGTCGTGGGGCCACTGAAGAAGAAGTAGAAGTAGAAGTAGGGGCCACTGAAAAAGAAGAAGTAGAGGAAGAGGTGCTCACTGTTAGGGTGCTTGTTAAGGTGCATGGTTGAAGCACGTGGGGCAATGGTAAGGGTGGAACAAACAAAGCGATAAAGCATCTGGAGCTGGCTGCTTCTCATGCCCTAAGAAAGGGAGGACCTGAGGGCAATAGGGAAGTGGAGATGACAATAGGAAAGTGGAGATGACTGTGTCAGACACCGTTACTTGGAAGCTCTGTGCATTTGCGGAAACAGAAATGTTTAAGGATCAAGGACTGAATCGTGGGACAGGTCAGGGATTGAAGACAGGTAAACCATAGAGCAGGCTGATTTAATGTATGCCCCCTGGGCAGCAGCAGAGGACATGGTGGCAGTTCTGAGTAGCTGGAGAACGGATATCCTGGTCACTGCTCCTTTTCATAAAGACCAGCTGGGAACACAAGCATAGAGATATCCTGCCTGAGATTTGCCCTCATAAGAAAGAAAATATTTTGTCTGGATAATCCAGCTTTCAAACTGCTTTTAGCATGAGGCAATATAAATGACACCCAAATTCTAGCTTTTTATTTGTCAAAAGTAGAGAGTCTGGGAGCAGTATGAGGTCCTAGAAAAATCTACCCTGCTATAATGTACTTTCTTCTTGTTGATGTCAACTAATTTTTCTATTAATGTCTTATAGTTAATGTAGATGACTTAATTGGAAGCACCACACCTTCATTTCAAAGCCTTCATGAAAGCCCACCTCTCTTCACAACCTGTAGAGAAGACTGAGGCTTTGAGTACGATGGAGTGCATTTGACCAGATCAAAAAATTCATGGCCCCATGATGCAGAAAAGCATATCTGACCAAAGCTTTTCTTCCTATTTCAAATATTCTGAAAAAGTTTTCCAGAACTATGCATTGGCAGGTTTTACTTCAGGTTGGGTATTGTTTATCCACTCTAATCTTATATTGTTATCAGGTATATCTCCTCCAGCAGCCAATGTAAAAACATAAACCTGAGGCAAATTTCCTGTAGTGCTATGGCTAATTAAAAAAAAAAATCATCTAAGTGTTCATTCCTGATTTAAATCAAATTTGTACACCTCATCTGTTAGTGTCCAAATCTAACACTAGTGATTGTGGTGATGTGTGCCTAAGGCAATTACTTTAGGAGGACAGATTTGCTAGCACCTAAAATCTGCAGGCAAGTAAAACAGACTGGCTGTCATGCCTACGGTCCTTGCTCTTAAGTCTCCAGAACACACTACATGCCATATTTACATTTTGCTTATTCAAAAATACAGACCAAGCCTATTGGACTAGACATAGCAGAGGATTCAGCAGTGGATAAAGGAACATTCTTATTCTGTGGAGAAAATAACTTTGATGTATTTATTATGCTATTAGTAGTGAGCTTGCCATTTTAAGTTCACAATTCCTCTTCAAACCATTCCTGGCAGTATTTTGATACAAAAACAAAAGAAACCCAAATCAACTGATTTATTGTTTTTAAAAGAAAAACTGTCTTTTCCTTTTCTTCCTCTAACTATACTGGCTTTTATTTCCTGCTTCTGTTCTGCTTAACGTCAAGTTCAGTGAGCCTTGCATGAGTTTCAACCTGTCTGTTGTTGTTTCAACATTAAAAAGCAGACAACCAACTGGTAATTCCAAGCATGTGAAAATATGTGGATGTCTCTGTCTGCACAGCACACAGAACGATGCTTGACACTGGGAGTTGCTGAAGTCAGGAGGAACGGTGGGTGATCAGGAACAGGTATGAGACTGTGTCAGACTGGGTACAGTGAGGAAAAAGGAGAAATGCTATAGTGCATGACTTGAAGTGCATGGATTTATTGTTAACTTTTAATCTTTTTCCTGTCTTTTAAATATATATTTGAATTTTCCATGCTTTTTTACTTGATAAATGGAACAGTAAAAAAAAAAAAAAAGGGTGCTGACCATGCAGTCTATTTCCTCTTGCAGAAATCTTAAAATTTAGTATGTGGCCATCCATTCTTTAAAGTCAAGTTATATAATTTGTTAGTCATTTGTTCTCTGTGAACAAATACGTAAGCAAAACCGTTACGGGCCAGAAGCAAGGGAACTGCCCTGTAACAGAGGGTGTAGTGTTGAAGTTGTGTATCCGAAGGTGCTACAGGGGTGGATCAGTTGTGAATAGAGTTACTCAGAGAGAAAGCAGTTTGTCAGAGAGAAAGCAGTTTGTCTGAATAAGATTCTAAAGCTTTAAATTCTTCACTGAAGAGCAAAACAACCTTAAGATTAAATATGTAGCTATATTGTTATAGCTGCGTTAGCCTATGAATGTGACTGAAGGAAGACTGAGGGAGGTTTTATTAGGCCAGCTGTTGCAGTTGAAGGAAAAAAACCTGAACATATCTCCAAGCGCACAAAATCTTCTTTAAATGACATAATTGCTGCTTATATTAGTTCCCAGAAAATGTTGCTTTATCTGTCACTTGGGCCCATTAGGTTACAGAGTGGCTAATACAGCGGTATTACTGTTCCTGTGGTGCACATGAGTTTGATGACTTTTATTGCCATGTGTCTATGCAAAATAAGTCTTAAGGGAGGCAGGGTGTAGCTGAAGTTGTTGACTATGCTGAATATCCAGAAAGCTGGAACTGATCTCCTACCTTGGTTGGGCTGCAAATTCAGTGGCACTGTTGCCCAAGCTGGCTCAATTATGCTCTGTATTTTGTGTTTTTCCTTGCATGGTGACAGCAAAAGCAGGTGATTAACTGCTTTGAGAAACTGATCCAACTGAAAAATAAAGTTTTTATTTTGTTGAATATTTTTTTAGGCAGACAGGTTCCCTGCTCTGGTGTGCAAACATTTGTGCTGATAGAACTGAGATGGGCACAGAGTTGGGAATTGGATGCCGGGGACAGAGGACAGGCTGAGGTTTTTATTAGTGCTGTTTAATCTTGCAGGCCAAGTTCAGCCGAGTACCTAAGCGTAAGAGCTATTACGTACCTGTCTGGCAAAGTACATCTGCAGTTGCTTAAGGATGTGCTCTGGTTCTCCAGCAGCAGCTCAGTATGGTACCTGTACTGGTCTAAATTTCTGAGTTAGCTCCATAAAAAGATGCGGTTGAATTAGAGGCACAGTTATTTTCTCTTTATATAATATAACTCTTGCTTTATATAAGAAATAGAATGCTTGCTTTCTGATGATTGATAAAACATTCACTGTTTTAATGTTACTGGAAGTGGAATTTTGATATCTGAGTGATTCCTGGGAAATTGTCCATTAGAGAAAGGCTTTAGCAGTGAGGTTGGTTCACATCTTTATCGTGCTTTTCCTATAACAAAGGGAAAAGAAATCTATTTATTAATAAGTGGCTAGTTTGTATTTTTCAGAGTGAGGGAGAAAGTGTGCATGCACATGCATTTAAAGAAGTGCTAATATTTTGAGCTTGGCTCAATATTCCAGAATCCAAATGTACTGTAGCAAGGGAGATTGTTTAAGACTGATGTTTTGGTACAGAAATTAAGTTAATTAAATTAAATGTAGTGAAAACAGACCAACTGAATGTCTGCAAGCAGGGTGTTGCTGCTACAGGTAAACTTTGTGTGAGCAAGCACAACCAAAAAAAAAAAGTCAGTGCGTCACCAGGAGAAAACAGGTTTCCATTGTCTGCAGCAGACTTTAGAAAAACACAAAACACTAACTAAAGCTGTTTCTGTGCACCGTGTCAAGCCTTGATACATTTTCTGTGGAAATGCAGTATCAGAAAGATCCTCACCCTGGTTGAAAATGACTGCAGAAAATAACAATGGCTTATGTGCAATTTGAGCTGTTGGGTTTTCTGGGTCAACAGCAACAAAAAAAAGATGGGAATAACAGACAGGCAAGTTAAATTTTATGCATGATTGGCTTGATTTTCAGTGATTACAGTGAAGGGTGACTCTTGCCATGCATATTTATCCAGTCATCGATCAATAAAGACATAGTTTAAATTGGCAAGAAGTGTTGTCTTACAAGGTTTGCTACCCAGACATTGCAGTGTGTGTTAGTGTATAAGAAACCTTATAACTTAATTGCGAGAGCTTCTGAAAAGTCTGTTTTCCTTGTTGGTGCTAGAATGATTTGGAAAGAGTAAGTAGCATGTAAGTTGAAAAAACAAATTTGTTTTGAGAAAGCCTTTCATATGTAATGAGGTGTCATCATTTACCAGACTGTGTGAACGTTTTTAATTCTTACGAGTAACATTTAGTTAGAGCTTCTGGCATTTAAGGTACAGCATTATGTATTTAAGGCATGGTGAGTGAGAACTACTTTGTGAACTGAAGAATCTGGTTTACAATAGCACGCGTAGTTTGGGTTCCCTGTAAATTACTTGTACGTGTTAATTAATTTGCAGTGCTTTTCTGTACTTCTGGAGAGGAGTAAATGTACTTGTTAACAGAGGTTATGAGCTAGAGTGTGGTAAATACTCAGCTAGGATTTACGAAACGTGATAGAGTTTGTGAGAACGTCTGTCAAGCTCAGACATGTAGTGATCATCCATATAGACAATGGAAAATCTGTTTTTACCAGAAGGCATGTTTTGCATACTTAATAATACGGTTCTGACCACATTAGTATGTGAAACAGTGAAAAACACTAGGAATCGTAAGTTGTAAAGTAACAGCTAAATGGGAATGAATGGCCTA